AAAAAAATATTCCTGAACTCGTTTTAGAAAAGTTCAAATACTTTTTGAATATGTTCCCTGTTTACTGTTTTATTATATTGAACAATGCTAAATGAGTCTTGAGCAGCAATGCTCCAACGTTTTTATAGCAGCAACTTCTGTGTGAATACCAAAGTGCCATCATCAGAACATGCCCTTTGGTTGATGGATGCAAGGTAATTATGGGTCATATCTAATCTCAGAAGTGAAAATAGGCAAGTTTATCCATCCATCTATCCATCCATCCATCCATCCATCCATCCATCCATCCATCCATCCATCCATCCATCCATCCATGCATCCATCTCTTAAAAAGACTTGTCAATGCTTTTGCCTTTCCCCAGCAGTCACTGGGCAAGTCCTGGGTCCATTTTCATACCTAAGGAAACTTTGTTAGAGAGATCAATTAACCTATCAGTTATGTTTCAGGACTATAGGAAGGAGCTGGAGTACCAAGTAACAGCATCGGCATGTACAGGCAGAAGATTTGAGCACACGACCCTCTCACTTCAAGGTAATAAATCTTCTAATTATTTTACCTTCCAGCCCTTTCCAGGTTCAACAGTTAATAGCTTAGAGAGTGTGAAAGTATTCTGTATTTCACCATCCCCATATCAGAAAATACAATACAGAAGTATTATTAGTTTTAAAGGCAATTCCGTTTAAGTTGGCCTTTAATTATTTTTTCACAGACAATTTTAAGGATCGTTATTATAACAATGTTGTTACAGTGTTAGTTTTTATTGCTAATTGTTAAGCTAGTCAATGGTTTGGATTTCAAACATTACTTGGTATTCTACCAGCTAATGTTGTTGCAAGCTCTAAATGATGGTATCAAAAACCAACACTGGTTTACTGTCATTTAATCAGTTTTTAATGGGAGTTGTTGAAATATTATTATCTACACTTTCTTTTTGTGGACGTTACTGATGAAGCAAAGTTCAATGTCTTTGAAAAACTTATCTTTATGGCGAGTTATTAATTCTACACCACAGTCAACTCAATAATCTCTCATATTTTTATGAGTAATTAGTTAAAAATTGCTCTTCTTATTTTATCTCACTTTCTTAAATCACCAAAGCCAGTAAATAAGTCTCTGTTTTAGTTAACAAATTCTTCCATCAAGTGTGTTAGAGAAGGTACATTATTATGGAGGACCAAGTCTGACATATCTAAACATAAATAAATGCTAAACATATAAACAGACATATAATTACATGTTTTGTCTTAAAGATAAAACTTTTGCCTGTTGTTTGGTTAGACTGCACAGAATCTTCATGCTACAACAGGCTACCTAAGATAAGTTTATAAATGATCTCGTATGATGCCACTCGAAAACAATGCAGCTCAATTTCTCTCATAATTTACTAACTGAACTACGAGATATTAACACCTTTCTTATACCTATTAACAAAACACAAGTATCTTTATTTCCAGGTCTAAATGGTTGAAAACGAGAAAGAGACTGGATTCGCTCGTCTTACAGAATTCACACTTCTGACACAGGGGAGGCCTTTTCTGTCGAGGACTCGAGAATCAGTTTGATATAATACACATGACAAATGATGTCAGAAATCACAAAAAAATGTTTTAATCAATTGGCTAAATACCTCAGCATACCCCACAGATGACTCGATTCTATGGCATAGGTAGCCATGTTTGTTGTGACTGTGGTCGGTTCGGATGCATGTAAATTTTATGCTGTCTGAGCTATCTCCTTAAGACAGACCCCCCTTGTTATTTGTATAAATGCAGACAGCAATGGAAAACAGTTATGAATAATAAGGTGAAAAGGCGTTAATAACAAATAGAATTAAGTTATTTCATACAAAGAAAACAAGCCAATTAAAACACAAATATAATAATGTCTTTTTTTTTAAATACAATTTCTGCTTCCTTATATTTATTTGCAGACTATATATTTGTATATATTTATTACCTTTCATTTACTGATCATTTATTCATTTATGTACTAATATGGTCCTCCATACATCATTTCCCCATGCTCACAAAAAAATGCAAATCATAAAACCTGCACATTTACTAAACATGCTTAGTGTGATGGATTGCCTTTGAGTTAATCAAATCAACTGATTTTCCTTAGATAGAAAACTTTGAATCAATCTGACTGTATGATCTGGTAAACTGTAAAGTGCCTTGACATGACATGTGTTGTGAATTGGCGCTATATAAATAAACTGAATTGAACTGAATTACTAGAAAAAAAAATTATAAAGCAAATACACATTGAAGACCGGGAATCGCTTTAGAAGTATGAAAACCAAAAAGATGTATTGATCTGATATTCAAAAACAAAACACTCTGACTAAGCTTTCACATATTCAAAGCATAGAGGGACCTTTAGACCTAAACACATCTGTTAGAGAACATAAGAGAGCACATTAATATCTGTCAAATTATATCCTAAGGCAGCAGCTGTCAAAGTAGTCCCAATAAAACAAGAGCATTAACCTCCTATTGGAAGCAGACTGCAGGTTCTAAGATCAGAAGGTTAAGGTGTTTTCATTTTTGATTTTATTTTTACCTTCTGTTTGCATGGTGTTCTTTATGGTTTTTGTCTTATATAGTCAATTCAGTTTTTGCTTATTAGTTTCAGTAAGGTTATCAATAAATACTTCTATTCACGATGCATTTCATAGCAATCCATACCATTCTAACTAGAGATTACCTGCAGACTAATATGACATACTATATTATTAAGGTTTTAGTTTGCATGTAGTTAAGGTTTTGATCAGATTTTTTTAGCTGTATATTTTAAAAGAATGAGCTTCAAAAATCTACTCTGATACAAAGAAACCGGAAACAGCGAAGGGAAGAAAAAAAACTCCATTCTTTGAAGCGTTAACATGTTAACATAAACATGGACTCTACCACTATCTTATATATCTGCTTGGAGCTATACAGAGAAAAGCTGAGCGGCCACCTGCATTTGTCTTGAAAGAAAACCACATCACCCATTCAGGTCTGTCTGGCCCACACGTTTTTATTAAACACATCATTTATCCTGCGGGTTTCAAAAGAATGTACAAAGCTATCAAAGAGCCACAGAGAACAGTCAAACTCTTGACAGCTAGCACTGACTTAGATAACGCCTGAACCTGTGGAAAAGGGTTGTAAAACCTCCAGGTAAATAACTGAACTCTACCACCTTAGTTGCATAAAGAAGGACACTGCTGCATAATTTAAGAGGATTTTCTATGACGGACAAACACATATGTAATAAAACTGAAGGAAGAATTTTACATGGTTGTCTAAACAGCGTACAAATTAAAGCTGAAAAAAAGGAGCATTGGTGTTCAGTATGTTTCACTCTGCAACTCTTAAATAAAAACCCAATGCAGCTAACTGCCTCCAGAAGCCAGAGGATGATAACATGTATGTGCTCTAATCCTATTTGTTCTTAGGGGATTGCTAGAAAACATTACCGAGCATATCAAATAATGAAGACCAAGGAAGTCTCTCTTAGCTCTATAAACCCATGTCCTCTTTCTTGACTTCTCATAAAACCTATCATGTAACGACTATAGCACAACTGCAAACCACCAAGACCTGGTTGGTCACCTGACAGACCAGGCAAGGAGACCATTACACAGACAAGCAGTAATATGGCCTTTGGGGGGCAGTTGGTGGAAACAGAGAAAGAAAGTTAAAAAAAAAAAAGTCTGATTTTTAAGGGAAACAGCCAAGGTTTGAAAAATGAGCTCTGGTAAGCCCAGGTTAAACATGAACTACATGCAAAACAGAGTTAGTGGTGGAAAGGAACATCCCACATCACCCACCAACACACCATCCCCTCAGTGACATGTGGAGGTAGCAGCGTCATGCTCTGGGAATATCTTTCCTATAGCTGGGATAATCCTGCTGGTTACATTTAAGGACAAAATCGATTATGCTAAAAACCATCAATATGCGAAAAAATCATATTAAACTAAAAAAAAACAAAGTCCTAATATAGCAAACATTTGCTAAAATGGTATGAAGTCATCTTTCATTTAGAAACTGTGATCCTTTCTGCCCAGTTATAATTGCCTGACTACTTTTGAGCAATAAAACAACAGAACATGTGAAAATGTGACTTGCTGATTGCATGTGGCATGTAAAAAGTTTGCGTAACATAATGGGCTATTTTGCAGGTGTAGTCACATCCACAGATCTAGTCACAATCTTTTTTAGCACATGATAATACAGCAATGTTGCTTTCTCTGCTCCCAAATAAACTGAGCATTACCACGTATTAAAGTCAGACATCTCTAAAAGCCCCGCATGTGTCCATCCTTTTGTCCGGGCATTCTATATTTAGCAGCGCAGGGTTTAAGCACAGCTCACCCCAGCTAAAAACAGAAGACAGAAAAGCCTGCACCCATTGTCAGACAGGGTGTCCACTGGGAGCCCAAAGGTGCAGTGGGATTTTTATTTTTTTTTGTTGCTGCTTTTCCTAAACTATGCTCCCTTGTGCACTTGCAAAACTGAAATCCGATTCTAAATGCTTGTGAATTCTAATCCAGAAACAGCAATCCTTTTCTTTCCTTGCAGCAAATAACTGAGGTTGAGGGGGCAGTTATACAGGCCTCTAGCCAACCTCCTGTCAGAGACACAGGTATTGATGGAAGCATATTCTCCAGCCAAAGGGGCGTGAATCTGCATTCTGGCAGGAATCCAGTTACAGAGCACATGATTACTGCTTGCCCAGGTGATGAAGCTCACACTGAAAATATAATAGTGTACCTGATGGAATACCTTCAATACAAACAGTATGAGTCAACCTGCATGTTCAGAAACATGAGAAACAGGAACAAAATCACTACAAATATCCTAATAGATGGATGCAAGGAAAGCAAAATTACAACTTGGAAGATATGTTTTTTCTGCAGCACTGTCATCAGGGCTATACCATTATTATTAAACCCAGCAGGAACCAGCTTTAAAAAAAAAACATCTGTTTATGCACATGATAATCTCACCTGCCCGAGGTCCAGGGTAACATTGACTTGATTGTAGATGGTTCCCCTGGAGAGAGGTGGGCTCTGCCACCACCTCTCTGTGCCATCTATTGCGTTGTTCACCGGGTGGGCTTTGCTTGGCTCCGCGGATGTGCAGTAGTCACAATGCTGACCCTTAAAAAAAAACAACATTTTATTTACCATTTGTGCTTGAAAGGGCTAAAGCAACAGCTAAACAAATAGGATAGAGAGCATGCAGCAGTTACATCAATCATGTCGGTTACAGGAATTGCACAAGTCAATTTCTGTGAGAACTCTCACGATCTGTTGAAGGAGATTTCCTTCAGGAAATGTGGGAAAAACGGAATTTAAAACTATTTCTGGCATGTGTACAAGTTGGTGAATGGAAGAAAGAAACTACAAGTGCTCCCTGGGGTGCCATACATGCGCCTTTGCCTGCCTTATACATTGATCTCAGTTATTATTCTATTTAATCAATAATAACAACAACAAAGATGAAAATTTGTACATATTCACACATATTCCCTTACATGTATGTTTTGAGTAGGAGGACCCAGAGTCGGTCCGCCGACAAGTTTACAGTAAAAATCAGATCTCGGTGCGCCAGTCTCCTCCTGGCCGCAGGTTGCTGTCGCAGATATGCTGGAGCGCTCTGCCAGGTTAAAGTAGGGCGGATTCAAACTGAAGCCCGTCAGGTCATTAAAAGTCCGCTGGCCCTCCGAGTCCCTGAGGAGAAACGATGCCCCAAAGGTCCACAGCAGCACAGTCAGAGGGGCTCCTATCCTCCGCCTCGGTGTTTTCTCCATCAGAGATCCTTATAGATGCTGAGCGCAACCCGCCGCCTGAGTCCAGGAGTCATCTGGAGCCGTCCATGAAATAGATTTTATTTACTTTTTTAAATACAGCAGACCCTTTCAGTAGATCTTCGCCGATAGATGCCAATAAAGGGTGAAGTTTATGTCCCACCGATGGAGGTGTTCCCTCTTTTCCGACGCATATCCGCAAAGAAGCGAGGCGAGTTTTCCTTGTTCTGAAATGAACTGTAGGCTTTGAGCGGAGCTCTCAGGTGTCAGGCTCCTCTGGGCTCCTCTGGGCTCCTCTGGGCTC